CTTTCTTTCTTTCTTCCTTCCTTCTTTCCTTCCTTCCGTCCTTTCTTTCTTTCTTAAAACTTTTGTCAAAACTATCAATGTACGTAATTATAATTTTGCATTCGCGCAAATATTTAAGGTTCGTTAAGCATAACTGCAATCCATTACAAGCTCTGGAATGACTCAATTTCGAATCAATGATAACAACATCTTTCAGTATTACCTGTCCTATGAAAAATTTCCGATGAAATAGATTTTTGATTTTTTTGTTCGATGTACAACACGCATTCGTGCGACGATGCAAAGTTATTTTTTTCCTTTAAAAAATGAAATTTAATTCTACGACACGGTGATTGCAAATTCTTCGTTGGAATTCTCAGAGGGCTGTCAGAGACCAAAAAGACCTGACAATGGTGGTATCTACAGAGAAAAGGTATTTTACAGACACAGAGAGCGAATCAGATATTATTGCAATTATGGATACCAAAGACTGGGCACGCAATATAGTGCGTGTGAAAAAGGTCGATGGAAACAGCAAACGCCCACGTGCAAGCGTAAGTATTTCATTCATTATATATTTTGTTTGTTTGTTTTAAATTTTTGGTGAATTTATTGCACATCCAAGAAGATGTAGACGAATATATCGGCTCGCAAAAGAGTGTCTTTCTTTTGTTTAATTCCAGGGAAATGTGGCAATCCAGGAAGACCTGACAATGGAGACTTAACAGGATCTGATCTTTACGAGGGAAGAGAAATTCGTTTCTATTGTAACAGAGGCTTTGATTTAATTGGATCCCAGACCACACGATGTTTAGCTACAGGAAGATGGAGTGAACCACGACCAGCATGTAAAAGTAATTGACAGTTTAAATCTATACACATTACAAAGAAAAGAAACGTTGTTATTGATATATTTCAATTATTTTTTATTGTTTTCTATTTGTGTCTTAGGAGGATGCTATAGCCCACGGTTCAGTAATTCAATACCAAATCCCTCCCTACGCCAAGGACAAAAGACACTTCATGGAACAAACATAACGTTTTCGTGCAGTCAGCAAAGCTATACACTTGATGGGCCGAGTGTTATTTATTGTTTAAACGGCCGATGGAACTATAACGTTCCTGTGTGTAGAGGTAAAGCAATAAACCATAATTTTATATCATTGTAATTTATAAAAAAAACGTGGGTATTGTTACTTCAATTTTGTGCTGTAGTTTTATTTTAAACTTTGGGTATTTGTTTTTTGTCGTTTTTGTTGGTGTATTTTGAGAAAACAAATTTTTCTCACTAAAACGCTCTTTAATTCTTAGAAAACGTACTAAACGCACGCATGCACAAACAGTTATTTTTGTCAATCTAGGGACCTGTAGAATCACATTTTGTTATTTTCATATGATGAGGTTCTTGCAATCATGGATGTATTGGTACACAAATAGCATTATTAATAAATGAAGTCAGGATAAGGAAGCCTCACATCGATCAGGAAAAACTCATTAAACTAAGGAGAAACTGCTATTTGATTCTGGTTGTTGATTGCGAATGTGATTTTTATTATTTTCCAGCCTCGTGTCTCAAACCAGGGAATTTACCAAATGGTCAAAAGGCAGGAGACAACTATGCACACGGACAGAAGGTGACTTACACATGCCTTGGGTTATACACATTGGTTGGATCTTCTTCAATGAGGTGCAACGATGGAAAATGGATTCTGGAGGCCCAACATAACCAATGGCCTTCCTGTAAAAGTGAGTTGGATGAAAATGACGAAAGAATTTCTCAAAAAGATCTTAAAACAACCACTCTTTGAATCCTCAAAATATTTTTCAATCCTTCAAACATTAGAACCATGCACAAACCCTGGCACCCCCAATAACGGTTCTAAAACAGGATCTGACTACAGACATGGAAGACAGGTGTTTTACTCTTGTGAAAGAGGAACATACATGGTTGGTGAACGATCTTCGACGTGCTATGATGGGAAATGGTCCAACGTGCTTCCTGCATGCCTTAGTAAGTTATTCTGATTTCGATGTATTACTATCACACCAGTTTTTGCTCGTTCTGTGGTTTGTCAAAGTGTTCGCAACAGGTACATTTTCAGTTCTAACATGGCAACATAGTTACGGAAGAGAGGGAACTCTATTTATTGACTATGATGGTAGACCCCTCTCTTACAAAGTACAGTTGACTGTCGTCCCCCTGCCCCCTTAACGGTAAAAGCTCTCGCCGTGGTGTTACAGTCACACTCAAATTTGGCTTGTATCTCAACAATTCAGCTTAGATCAGGGATTCGATGGTTGTATCAATGTGTCCTCGATTACTTGATTATTTGTGATACGCTAGAAGACCGACACGTTAATAAAGTATATGATGATGATGATGATGATGATGATGATATCACTGTCTTAATTCATGTTTATAGAAATTTGCCAAGATCCAGAAGCCATTGTAAATGGTTACAAAACAGAGAATCCGCGTTTGTATCTGGCTGGTGACAGAGTCACTTATCGCTGTAATTCTGGCTATGACTTGGTTGGAAGAGCAGAGTTAGTTTGTAAAGATGACGGACAGTGGAACGATAACGTGCCTATTTGTTATGGTAATGTTTTTTTAATGGAATCAATGAATATTTGTGTTTAATTTGGGATCTTTTTGAGATGCCTATAGGTAGCATAGTTTATCAGCATTATAGTGCTGGAATTAGCAACTCGATCTTGGTCAGTTGAACCAGCTGCTTGAGGTGAAGACGTTTTGTTTTGTTCATCTCATCCCATCGCACTTGTGAGATTCAGTGCCTATAATGTCATTTCAAACAAATAACAACTTTTCATTACTTTAGTCTTTCGATGAGAAAAATTAATATCTAATATATCAGGAGTTTTTTTGAAGTAATGATTTTTTTGTGCCAAAATCAGTCATTTTTAAGATATATTTGAATAGCTTAATTGACCAGGACTTTTCTCGTGTACAGGTCGATGCAAGGTACCAAGTGGCTTTACTGGTGTTCAATCACAGCCTTCTGTCAAGGCAAACGAATATCAAAGCCATAAAAAAGTCATAAGCTTTTATTGCACCAAAGATAAACAGCTAGTTGGTCCAAAAAAGATAGTATGTGAGGATGGTTTATGGAACAAGCGTTTTCCGACATGCCAAGGTATAGAAACTGTGCAGTTTCATTTAACTATTGTATGCTAGTCATATGCATTTTTTATAAGTTAAATTGCATTCGATTTCTTTTTAAAATTGTAGTTCCTTGCAAAAATCCAGGGAAAATCAAAAACGGAAAAAGCAAAAATACCAATTTCACAGCTAAATACAAATGTGACCAAGGTTACTCACTCGTAGGATCCTCCTTTATCAACTGTGTTGAGGGAAAGTGGAAGCCCAGTCCACCACGATGCCTCAGTAAGTGATTTGCACGAGTTTGTTATTACGTCGTATTATAGTACGTCCTTTCCTAATACTTTTGAATAGTAATTTTAACTTCTTTCTTCAATTTTTTAACCAATAGAAGATTGTGATGATCCTGGTCAACCAATAGATGGTACAAAGAATAGTACTGATTACAGGCATGGGAAGGTTGTTTCCTTTCAGTGTTTGAAAGGGTTTCGATTAGAAGGAAGCACTGCAATTACATGTAGCAATGGAACATGGAGCAGTAGAAAAACACGCTGCATAGGTAACATTAATAAGTACTGTTCAAAAAAACTAATCCCTTTATCGTAATTTAAAGACCTTGCCCAAATGATAGGAAGACACCGTTATAACATTCACCCGACCACGTTCTTTGCATTTGTTCCCTAAGGAGTTTGTCCTCATCTGGATGCACCAAAAAATGGAAAACGTCTGGATAATAACTTTGATCATGAATCTCGTGTATATTTTCAATGTGACCAAGGATATAGCATGCAAGGTTCTTTAGTACTGATTTGTAACACAAATGGAAAATGGAGTCGTGAGCCACCTGTCTGCAGAGGTACTCTTAATTCCTTCTTAAATTTTGCTTGATTTCATCGACTTTCGTGAGTATTTCAATGTCTTTATATTGTACTAATGCTTATTTTCTAATCACGAAAGCTCCCTGCCCTAATCCTGGACCACCCACGAATGGAAGAAGAAAGGAAAACAACTTTGGTCACGGTGCTGCTGTACAGTTCTTTTGTGACCCGGGATACGAACTGTTTGGTGCTCAAACCTTAACATGTAACGATGGAAGTTGGTCACATGCTGTTCCGACATGTGAAAGTAGGTTGCCAATCTGCAAGTTTATATCATGCGATCACTTATCATTTCTGATATCATTCTACTAATGATAAAATATAATTGCTCTTTTTGTTTCATCGCCGATGCTTGCACTGTGCTGGTTTGTGTTTTGGTTTTGATTATTGTAATGTCCTTTATTGGTCATTTTATCTAGCTGCCAGTCGTCAAAGATCCCTACACTTTCACTATTTCCTAAAATGATGTTCTTTATCCACAGCTGGCTGTTCAAATCTTAAAATTCCAAAGGGAATGACAACACAAGGGAATCTCGACAGAAGTAGAACCTCTATCTCTTTTTCGTGTACTCTACCTCTTGTTTTGGTCGGCAAGTCAGTCTTGACTTGTATCAATGGACGATGGTCTGATATACTGCCTGTCTGCTCAGGTATCAACTAATACCTGGCCTCAACTTCATGCTAGTAAACATGTATGACGCGATATGATACCATTGCTAAAACTTACAGACCTGGTACTGAAACTAAGCTGCCCTGCTTTGAATAGGATTCGTCAGCACCACGCTCTTTTCAGACTACCTTATTGACAGAATAAACTTTTTAAACCTCAATCATTCCAGAGCTTGCAAGGGATATATTCTCTATTATATATATCCTTGAAGAATAATGCATAAATAATACGTGTGGGATACCTATGTTATTGTGAAAAATTAACATGAGTTGCCTGTGGCCTCATTAACGTCACCGGAACGCAGAACGAGTTCCTCTCGCTGTATTCGATGGATCATCTGAAAATTCGTGTTTGCAACCTAAATCCGGAATCAGTGTTGGAAACATGTGAAAGAAAGTGAAAGGAAAAGCGATGAGAATTGTATTGATAAATTATTCTCGTGGCGCGCTCTTAGTTATACTTAAAATATACATTCCACTATGAACTACAAATAATATAAGGTGCAGTAACTCTAGTTAGTGGTATTAGTGTTTTTTCGTAAGATAATATTGTAATTATGAAAAACTTAACGGGGGTAAAATTGCTTTTGTTATTCTAAATGTACAGAATGTGGATCAGCTCTTGGAATGGAGAATGGGAAGATTCCCGATAGTAACATTCGAGCATCATCAACACGTTATAGATACCATGCGAAGTATGGACGATTGAACGGACGATATGCGTGGTGCTCAGGAACAGAACTTGATCCGTACCTTCAGATTGACTTTGGTAAACCCTACAGGATAACAGGCCTGGCTACACAGGGAAGTGCGTATGACAACAAATGGGTGGAGACGTATACTGTGAGAAGTAATCTGGCGGGATCATCATTTAACATTTACAGAGAAGATGGCCGAGATAAGGTAACGTATTATCCCCCGGAGAGGGGAGGGGGGGGTACTCCCTTTGTTTAGGTGGTAGGGGTGATTTCTCGGTGGATTTTTAAAATGGCCCCTAAAAGGTACGCATAAATTAAAAAGGCTTTTAAAACCAACCTGATTTCAAACCCTAAAAGATACAGCTTTATTTCAGTAATTTACTATTAACCCCGGCTATCAACGCGGGTCTAACGAATGACAGGACAGCGTATAATAAGATTATAAGGATGATCATATTAAAGAAATATTTAGTGCATCATTGTAAAGTAAACAGCGGCATAGCATGGATAACATGCATAATAAATGACCCCAACCGACTTTTGAGCCGGAACCCCTAAAAGGTACACGCAGGGAACATTTTCAACCCTAAAAGGAGCGCCGATCACCCCCACCACCTGAACAAAGGGAGTACCCCCCCCCCCCCATAGTATTATCCCCTTCTAAAATATCTCATAGTAAGCACTCGATTGCTCTGGAAATGGCGTTTGAACAGATTTTAAATATCTAGAACTTATTCTAGAAGTTTGCTTAGTCTGCGCAACCTCCGGAAATCAAATTACAGACCGGTTCTTACTAGAGAACGCGTGAGGTCATTTATATTAAAAATATTAATTATTGTAACATTTGCTCTGCAATACACTGACAGTATCTCCCATCTCTCTTGTACTCTTTTTAACTTAGGTCGCTGCTAAGTTTCTTTTCTTTTTTTCATTAGATTTTCATCGGTAACAGAGACAATGGATCTGTAGTAAGAAACAAATTAAAGAATCCTGTTATCGCAAGGAGATTAAGAATATTACCAAAAAAACAAGGTGGATTTTCCTATTATAATCCTGCATGTGTGCGAGTAGAGATATATGGGTGTGACCTTCCTTCAGGTAAGTGTATAGTAATAATAAGAATAGGTCATCCAATGTCTATGATAACCCTGTCTGTATACCAGTAGAGATATATGGATGTGACCTTCCTTCAGGTAAGTGTATAGTAATAATAAGAATAGGTCATCCAATGTCTATGATAACCCTGCCTAGTAGAGATATTTGGACGTTCTCTAGTCGACTATCAAATTGATTAATCTTTCAGATTGTATCCTGATTGGATCTCGTGTAGTTGCAAAATGGGGTGATCATGTAAGTGGTGGATATAAATACTTCAAGGCCTACCTTACAAACATGGGAAGCTACTGGAAAGTAGAATGGGAAGAAGAGTTTCATGGCAGAAATTGGTATAAAAACTTGTTAAATTACGAAGACCTTCCGTTTGTCCTGGATGTTCCTCCCAAGCACGAAGAGTTACAAGTAGGCACCAGGGTGTTAGCACCATGGGGACATACATATTACACTAGTACCATCAAGACAGGAAGAGACAGATATAACAGATACCGAGTGAGAGCAGATGATGGTGATGAGAGATACTTTACAATAGATCAAATACGTGTACTTAAAGCACCTACATTTTGTAACTAAACTAATTCATGGAGTAAAAGTGATTTTGTAATCAGCGACGCCGCATTGTTTGGGCCGCTCACGAGAATGTTGCCGATTCGTTTCCTATTAAAAATAAATTAATTTTAAACGATATAGAAAAGTTATGGTAACAATAAGTCTCAAATGAAATCTCAAAGGTCAGTGAACCGATTATATGACATTTACATTTTTCCTAGAACAACTTATTGACATATACAGCTATTTCAAAAAATGTCGAATACAGAATACTGCATAATGATAATGTATTCCAAGACCGAAGTGCATTGTGGGTCTTGTTAATTTTAGATGAAAAGTAAATATACAGCGATTTGGCTAGTTTAAAGGCGTGTATTGTAACTAGTATATTGTTTCGAATAGAATGCAGTAATAACAAAATAAATAATAATTATTTATTGTGCTTTAGACAAATTACATCAGACCCAAAATGCATTTCGGTCTTGGAATACAATATTTAGTACATAGTATTCAAGGTTTATTCCAAAAAACGTACACGTTTAGCAATTGATAAGTACTACGTAGGCTTCATATAGGTAATATATACATAAAGACAATATCAATCTACCCCGAAATTAATAAGCTAAATATATAATAATAAATATGTGTTCATAGTATTTGTGAAGAGTATTGAAAGTATTATTATCAAAACATGTAAAACCAACTATTAAAAAAAATCATGTCGACTTTGTCTATCAAACCTAACTGGCCAGAAAAATCTACATAATAAAGGCAATAAAAACCGTCTTTTTCTTCCCTTACACAAGTACTGTATGTTTGCAATAAACCCCCCCCCCCCCCCCATCCCACCAAAATTGCGTTCTTTTACTGATACTGAAGAATTTCGAAAACCCCCTAATCAAAAAACAAAAGTGCCGATTTTTTATTTGTGTAGATGGGGGAAGGGGTGGATGATGCCTGCGCTCAATTGATGAAATATTATCATTCTCGAGATATCAGAAAAAACCTTTTTGAACTAAATGTTTCATTTGCTTTCTATTTGGAGTTATCCCCATACCGTACTGAAACTATGCCCACTGTTATTCTTTCAATGTGAGCGGAAATTGAATGTTGACAGAAATGCAAAGACCCTCACATTTTCTGACCCCAGTCTTATGTTACACTGGACACTGTTCATACAGTTTGTTTCAGAATTAGATTACGTTTGATTTGCCCTTGGTAGCGTCGACAAATACTGGAACATCCTCCCCTTTGATGCTTCTTTGAAGGCTTTCCTTTAACGAAAACAAGAGATTTGACTGGGACTCGTAGCTGAAATGGCAACCAGGAAGGTACTGTACTCTGGCTATTTCAGTTGCAGTGTCAGTGTCATATTTTTAGACAGTTATTTATCTTTCTATGCCAATTAAACATTTTGCTCTACTGTATGAATTAATTTAATGCAGTTCTAATCAACTTATGACCACTTTTTGAAATTATCTAGATGCGTAAAGAATTTATAAACTCCTCTCTCAAGGATGCGCGTTCATGGCGGGCAGGCCTTGTCCAGGCATGGTGCATTTTTTATCCATTTGTATATCTATATAATATATAGGTAAAGTGCTTGATGACCTCCTTGCTGGTATCCTTGTGTTTCCTGTTCTCCTCAAGCAAATTAAAAGGTACGTCCATGCGTTACGGGATCGTTAAAGTGTATTTCAAATAAATGAACACCAGAAATGGAAAGAGCACCTCGATATTAGTAAGAAGGCAAAGTTTCAGCTTATAACATGAAACACAGGAGAAATGGCATTAAATACAAAATCGAATATTTTATAAGGATTTGTATTGGGAAATGTGCTGGATAGCAAGCTTTGCCATCCAGCAAATTTTCCCATACGAATCCTTATTAAATATGCGATTTTATATTCAATGCCATTTCTCCTATAGTTAACATTGTATGCTAAAACCTTACCTTCTTATTGATATCGAGGTGGTCTTTTTATTTCTGGTGTTCATTTTGACACAACGCCTCTTTTTACGGGGGTTATAGGGTCATGTGACCTATTGTTGCAAAAGGCCTATTGGTTTTACATTTGAAATTAACCTTGATAGAATATACTAGAACAACAGGACTTTTGAAAAAGGTTAAGTATAGGAAGATATGAAGATTCTTTCTTCTGGAAGAGTTATGATACAGAAAACTTCAAACTTCTATGTACACGCTAAGAAAACTAAAAAGCTATGGAATTTGTTTTTTAAGCCCTTTATGGGGACTTTATGATCCATATCAATAAAACTATTTGGCTACCAATAAGCAGTTTGTGTTGTGACGTCTTTTAGCCACTACCAGGATGGCCTGCAAACTTTCTTTTGTTATGATTAATTGTCCAACAATTGTAATGGGAATAACAACTTTACTATAAAAAAGACAATTCGCGAAGAATCGTGGCCATCACGCCATCACATGCATACGGCCTATTGACGTAGCAATAGATGTTCCAAAAAAAGTTTATTAAACAAAGCTATAATGATGTCATTGTCCAATTGATGTGCAGAAGTGTTTAGAATATATATATATGACGCTAAGAGATGTTTGTTGTAGATTACGATCACTGTGGACTGCACTCAGTGAATATGGATATTCGTAACAGAATACTTGGAGGAATTCAATCTCATCCGGGCATGTGGCCTTGGCAAGTGGCCATTTACAAAGGAGGTGATGATGGTAAGTCTGCAGGTACTTTTGGTGTTTTCATTCCTTTCCTTATAGTGTGACATGCTTCTTTGCAACTTTGCAACTTTGCAAAATATGAAAAAATTACTGCCATTAATCCATCCATCCCAAGGGCGGATCCGGGGGGGAAGGGGGGCTGAAGCCCCCCCTTCAGCAGAAAAGAACGATGCTTTTTTGTATTGGTTTCCGTTGTGTTGACGGAAGAAACTCAATTAGCCCCCTTCCCCCTACACTCAATTAGCCCACCCTAAAATTTTGGCTGGATCCGCCCTTGCATCCATCCATCCATCCATCCATTCCTTCCTTCTTTAAAGATTTGCATTATATTTATATATTTGTATTATATATTCTTACGATAGGTAAGAATGAAAAGCGGTTCATCTGTGGTGGAGCTCTTGTTGATACAAAATGGGTCATAACCACAGCTCACTGTTTCTTCAAAATGAGTGAATCGTCCAGTAGAATTCGCTACGTTAATGACTCCAGTAGTCCAAACAAGTGAGAATCATTAAACTGTCAAGCCTCTAGACTATTGCTTTTTTTGTTTTTATGAATTTAAGTTATTGCATTTGTTTTGAAAAGAAACTTTATTGGAACAATCACCTTGGGTGTAACATTTTCTCATTTCAGACACATATCATTCTCTTCAGAATAAAATTCTTCGTTTAAGTTGTATCCAAGTTCATGTGTCCTACCATGTGCAACCATTAAACAAAGAAATGATACTCTAGGGAATGACACGTGATATGAAATGGAAAAATATTAAACCCAAGGTAAAGAGATCTATCGATCTCTTTATAAAACACTTTAGTTTTTGAAAAGCAAGCTCAACGAGTTTAAATGATTAGATGTAAATTGCATTTCATCACCTGCAAAGAATATGATCATGTCACATTAAACTAATTTAGCAATATATCATTGCTACCATGATAGATACCATGTCATAGCCGGGGATTACAATATCTTTCGTAAGGAAAAAAATGAACAAGTACGTCAAGTTCGAGCCATACGCATCTTTCCAGGATACAGGCATGCTCCATTCTATGAGAATGACATTGCTCTGATAGAACTCAATGAAACCGTGACCCTTAGTCCTGTCGTTCGCACCATATGTATTCCAGATTCTAACGAGAAGGTGTCTGTTCCTGGTACAGTTGCACGCGTTGCAGGATGGGGACGAACCACGAAGAGTATCCGTTCACCAGTTCTTCGTCACTCCGCTTACCAAATTCAAAACGACGACCTGTGTGACCAAGCGACGGACTATTTCTTTAATCGTTCTGTGACATTCTGTGCTGGTAGTGGCAAGGGAGGTAACGACACTTGTCAAGGTGACAGCGGAGGTAGTATGGTTAGACAGGTGCTGCACAAAGGAGCGCAGAGATGGGTGACTGTTGGTCTGGTCAGCTGGGGGGAAGGATGTGGCATCCAAGGCAAATATGGCTACTATACAAGAATGGAACCGTTTGTTCCTTGGATTCAGAAGACAATAAAACCCGAAGGTAAGTTGATAATGTCAGAAATCCATAGCTGTTAAAAAGAGTAAATAAAGCTTCCTATAGGTGTCAACCAAACCCTTCAAAATTATCCCAAAACCGCAAAAGAAAATATGTTTTTTTTCATATGCTTCAATAGTTAGCTGTGGCAAGCCTAGCAAAATAAGGAATGGACGTTTCACTGGAAAGGATTTCTTTGAGGGTTCTCGCGTGAAGTACAAATGTAAAAGAGGATACAAATTGAAGGGAAGATCAAGACGTAAATGTAAGCAGAATGGGCAGTGGTCGAAAGCACCGGTATGCCAAAAAGGTGAGCTTGTCCAAATCTTTTCTATCTCACTATCTCTATTTTCTTAATACTAAGAATTATATTAATATCAATGTCATAAACGTTTTAATTTTTACTTATTGACGTTGGTTTTTATAGCTGCCAGTTTGGCTGAATTTAGCAAAATATTCGTCATTACATCAACCAACATAACATGGCCGTCATATTTTTTCTCATTTCATTCGCTCAGCAATTATTGATAATCAGCAACAGGACTCAACCATGCGATCATTACCATCATCAAAAGCGGGCCGGGTGGGGGGAGGGGGGGGGGGTTATAAGTATGAAAATCCATGAGTGCAGAGGATTTAGACTAACCCTTCTTTTTACCCTTTTCATTCACACAATACAGTTCAGTGCCCAAGACTTAACAGTCCTATCAATGGGTCACGCAAACCTGCCAAAAGAAAATACTTCTACAGAGACAAAATTCGGTTCTCCTGTAAGACCAACTTTACGAGGATCGGAAAACCCGTTATCGTTTGTCAACATGATACGACATGGAGTGGATTCCAAGCTTTTTGTTTAGGTAAGGAATAAGAATTTAACGAATGAAAAATTTAAGAATAATTTTTTCTTTTCGAATTACTTTTGAAAACATGGCACTTTCTTTTTAAGATGTTACTTACGGTACAAAAACGTAAAAATTCCCCACATCCCAAACTCTATATCTATCTAGAGCGATTTTGATGTAGTTCCCCTCTTTCTTTCAGCTCCTTGCCCAGATCCTGGTATACCTAAAGGAGGTAGCCGACTTGATCATTCTTTTAGACATAACGATTTGGTGAGGTTTTCTTGCAACGGAGGACGAAAAATGGAAGGTGTTCGAGCTATAAGGTGCAGTAAAGGACGATGGAATCAAAGTCCACCAAAATGCATAGGTATAAAAACAAGTCAGTTTGTAACTTTACCAAATAATTTTTCTCCCGGGTTTTGCTCCAGGTTCTTTGGTCTTCTTCCCTACGCAAAACTCAACTTCTAAATTCCAATTGGAATCTAGTTGAAGAAGAGCCACTCTGTTGAATCCACTGTTAATTCCCATTATTTATTTTATCACCAATAAATTATTTTTCACATCTTACCTTGTTTATCCCAATAGGATAAATTTTAGGTTTTTTTTCCTTTTGGTTCCCAGAGATATGTGCACAGCCAAGAACACCAGTAAATGGTAATATACACATGGCCACGAGGAAGAGCATCTACGACAATAAAGATCGAGTCAGATTCTTCTGTAATATTGGATACAGACTTGATGGACATGAGTACGGTGTGTGCGTTAATGGAAAATGGAACAAAGATCCACCAACTTGCAAACGTAAGAATTATTTTCACTTGCAGGGAACATTTTAATATTCTATAGTAAGTTGCCTTGAAGAAATTAGTACCGACTGGATGTCTGTGTGCTGTCAGCGCCGGCAATCTGGCATGCATGCGCAATTTTTACAATACTCGTTCACAGTTACCAAACCTTGAGGTACATCAAATATTAATTACCAAATATTACAGCGTTCAATTCGGAATGAATATTTTCTATTTGAATTTCTTTTTAGGAATCTGTAGGAATCCAGGAAGACCTGCTAATGGAGGCTTCAAAGGATCTGAATTTATTGAAGGAAGAGAAATGAGTTTCTTCTGTAACGCTGGCTTTGATTTGCTTGGGCTTCACACCATAATGTGTTTACCTACAGGAAGATGGAGTGGACCGCGACCAGAATGTAAACGTAAGAAAAAAATCTTTTAAGCATTCCCTACATCCCCACCAAAAAAAGCACGAGCCAAATAAAGCATTATGCTGCTGTATCATCTATTAAGGTCACTGATTCAACCCACAGGTCGTTGCAATAATCCTGTGATTCAATCCAACGGTCCAACATCAAATCCTCGCCTCGTACGAGGACATAAAACCAAGCATGGTACAACCATATCCTTCACCTGTAGATCCAGATACACCCTTCTGGGGAAAAAGAACGTCCGATGTGATGATGGACGATGGAGTGATAACATTCCTTCTTGTAAAGGTAAACTTAAAAGACAAGGTTTTTGGTCGAGATATGAAGGTTTGCAAAACAACCAATTGTGCGACAAATTAGCAGCAGATAAGGAAAGAAAGATATAATGACAGAGACCCATAAGGGGTTATGAGTTTCTGATATTGGTGCATGGATTGCGTCAAGTTGTGTTTTTTACGATCAAAATATAAATTTTTATTAACGATGTTAATTATTAATATTAGGTGGTTGTGAGGTACCAGACAACTTTACCGGCGTTCATTCTTCGCCTCTTGTCTTGCCTGGTCAAATTATCCAACACAGTAGCAGAATTACATTCTCTTGTTTGTATAACAAGACACTGAAAGGTTTTAAAGAAACTGTGTGTGATAATGGGGAGTGGAGTGCTTTATTCCCAAAATGCGAAGGTAAGTACTATATACATGCAGTATTTGCATCCATGCATCCATGCATCCGTTCAACCATCCACTAGTTGTACCCACCAACTTATTCACCACTTTCCATACCTCGGTTCAATGGTAAAACACAAAGCACTGTAGCGAGGCTTCAAGGTAGTTTCAGCCACTCTGTAGCCTCAACTGAATGCTTTCTATTCGACTAGTGTACCGTTGTTCATGGAAAATGATAAATTCATCCAATTCACCAATCCCTCCAATCTCTTTAATTCATCTATCCTTGCAATCAGTCCCATCCATTCATACACTGATTGAGCTATTTGAAATTGCTATAATTCAATACTCTGTCGATTATACTTTGACCTTTCAGCGTCTAAAACACATTGCCCAGACCCTGGAGTTCCTCAAAACGGTTACATAACGTCGTTGCCCACTGTGGACTTTCCACAAGGAACAACCATCACCTTTGCTTGTAATGATACGTACACATCTCAAGGACATCAAACCATAGAATGCCAAAACGGAAACTGGAGTCATGAAATCCCTAAATGTTTAGGTTTGTATAAAACACACACTGGATAAAATAAATAAATACAGACGGATATCTTTCCTTATAAAGCTTAGGAAAAAGTGCTGCAATGACATAGAGCTGCAACTTTGTCTCCATTCCAAGAAAAATAATAGTAGATTTAAAAAATATCAAGCTTTACACAGAGAATGCTCAAATCAAGAGAACATAAGTTATGTTCTCTTGCTCAAATATATCATGACATTAATAGGAAAATCATACCAAGTTCAACTAAGAATAAATTATTTTTCATATGGGAAGCAGTGAAGTTTGTGTTGGTCAGCTTTCAACTTGTTGGCTTCAACACCAAGCTAAGTGCCCCTTCTCGAATTTCTACTCGCACCTTTTTAGTTTGAGCAAGAAGTGAAACTTGACTAAAAATCATTTCATTCTTTGACGGAGTGAGGTTCAAACCCAACTTTTCAGCTTGGGCGTAAGGGTTTACCATTTCAGACATCGTATAATTCCCTAGAGTATCATTTCTTTGTTTAATAGTTGCGCATCAGAAGACACATGGATATGGATACACAAAAAAAAAAGAATCTTACCACTCACGTGGTCTAGATCTGAAATGGGAAAACATTACGCCAAAGCCTGTTGAAGAGATCTATACAATGCACAATCATTTCCTATTTCGATCAACCATACCATTTTCTTGAGAACGGCATTCCTTACTGACGAAGGATTGTACTCATTCTGTGTTTTTCAAAAGCTCCCTGCAAAGATCCTGGGGTACCAAAAGATGGCATCAGGTACGACCATGCCTTTCAACATGGCGACAAAGTAAGATTTGCATGCAAGAGTGGAAAGACAATCAAAGGAGAAGCTGTGATCAGATGTAATAACGGAAAATGGAATCACAACCCACCAGAGTGCATGGGTGAGTGGATTCAGTCGGCTCCCCCTTTTGCATACTAGCCCTAGTTGCTGAATGGGCCACCATTTTGAAATTACGTTGACATTTAGATTTACATTTTTTTATCGCTTGACTGTTGTTGACGACAAGATATTTGCACGATAACTACAGTAACAGTTGTTATGTGTATGTTTCCAATATACTGGTACTTTTGTGTTTTGGTAGCAGAGTCCAAGGTGATTATTATTATTAGCGTGGCAAGCATGCGCATTCATGGACTTTGAGCAATCACCTAACTTAATTATTGAATAGATATTAATTCATAAATATAATTATTATCTTAAATATTAATGAGATTGATCTTTCTTTATCTTTATGCAGGTACTATTCGAACAGTGTGTCATAGCTTCATACCTTGGTCCGATATCTTTTGTGACATATAGTGAAGATCCCTGTTAAGCCTAAGGTCGTTTCTGAAATGTAAAGGATTGCATTATCTTCACATATTCAAAAATAACATTTAGCGCCAATGCTATAGAGCAGCTTTCGTATGACTGTAAAAAGCTCGCTGCAAGTACGTGAATCACATGAGAATTAACACTTTATCCATTCGAATACCTTATACACGGTAGAACACGGCACGGACACGGTCACACCAATGTCACGGCATTGGTAGACCAATCATGTCGAGAGAAAGAAAAATCAGCCATTCAAAATTCTAGAAAGGCACGCATACGGCACCGAGCTTTTCACAGTCATACCAAATTAACATATTGCTCTACATTAGATTATCTTATATTTTATGAATGATAAATGTATGTAACCAGCATTGGAAAACCTGTAATTTTAGATTTTAGCTTATAAACAATTGAACTTTTTATGTGGTTGAGCAGAATATTGTAGGAGAACGCGAAGTTCTGTGCTCTTTGACAAAGCCGCCTCTACTTTTCCTGCTACCTCTTCTCCTTATTCTCTTTATTGCTGAGCGTTTTATTTGTTAATCAACCTATGTATAAACCGGCGTGAGAAAATATGTAATTTTAGCTTTGAAGTAATAAACATTTAATGAGGTTTGAGCATCAAGAGTATCAAGAAATATTCCTGTGCTCTAGTTGCCAAAGCAGCTTTATTTCTCCTTCGCTTTTTTCTTCCTTTTCTCCTTATTTTCTTCTTTCTCCCTTTTCAGTTAAAAAACTCAGAACGTACAGAGAGAACACTCGACGAACCGAGGCTTTTTGTCACTTTTTTAAAATGCATGCTAAATGATTGAAAATATTATTTATTTTGTTTATTCGGTGTATTTGAGCTCAATACTTCATTTTAGAGGGTTTGTGAAAGAGTCAGAAAGTTCAGGAAATGATAACCTGAAAAAACTCGAAGTGTCCTGTGTTTATTGATTAAAAAATATATGAAAAGTGTCATATCCAGCAAATGCAGAACAATAAGGAGGTCCACAAAAAAGGTATCCTTCTTAGGTTTTGACCTCCAGCTTGTGTTTCATTGAGGGATTTCCGCCTTCTCCATTGTGCAGCAGGCGACAACGGTGGCACTGGTTGTGTACTTGCTAAAAACATTCCTGGAATAAAATTTCCGTAGGTCCAATACATATATACGTTGATTCAGAAGCCATTTATTGCTGATATTTTTGCATATAAAGTCTATAATAATAGGAAAAGAAATAAGAGCGATTGATAATGGTGGTCGGCAGCTTGTTGGTGTCCATCTATATTACCTTTTCTATCCTGCAATTCCATGAAGGTAACGCACCTTTCATCTTATTTATCTGTAATTTGCAAAAAACCAACGTCTTTTTTCGTTTTGGGGTGCATCAAATCTATCTAGTTCATACTACGCTGTGAAGCAAGCTAATTTCCTATAAGAAACTGAAAAATGGTTTCATAAAGTTTTTGTCATTCGATTGGATCAGTGGCTTGATCCGATCACCGTGAATAAAATGGCGGTCCCTTCTCATTAAGAGACGTTAAAAAGAAGTTTATCATTTGCGACTGTTATGTTTCAACCTCTCTAAATAAATTTGATTTATACATTTTAGTGTATGGTAACTTAAGTGAAGTCCTTTACAACAACGGTATCGAGTTCAAATGTCGTGATGGTTTCCAAAAGGTAGGTATGAGGAACATGAGCTGTGGGGATGAAAGCTCGAACTCCAGCTTCCAAGTACCAGTATGCAAACGTAAGTGAATATTGAATAAAGTCCAGCCCTTACTGTGGTTGGTAATCTTGGTGTTGCAGGAAGCAAATGCCTTACAATTTCTTTATATCGAATCTATATTGTCAAAGAAAGATTGCAGGACAAAATACATGATAAATTGTTCTCCACTTTCAGCTGTTTTATCTTATTACTTGTTATTTTTACATTATATTTTCCTTGAAAGTATTGTTATCATAGATGCTTCATTTTGTTTCCAAATAAACTCTCTTTTTTAACCCTATGGATATATGCCAGTTCATACAGTGTCCTGTCCATGCATGCATCGTATATTTAACAGTTTTTAAAAAGACCCTATATTGCTTAGCATGACATTCAATATATCTCACGTGCACTGGTCAACGACATGAATCTTTCTCTAAATTAACTTGCAGCACTATGTCCTAATCCCGGAGTTCCTGCTGATGGGAATATAATAAAGCCATCTATGCCAATTGGTAAACATGGATCTCGAGTTACATTTCATTGCAACGATAAGTACGTGTTACAAGGTCAGCATACTCTAGAGTGTCAAGGTGGACGATGGAGTGGGGAAATCCCCAAATGCCTAGGTCAGTAAACAGCTAATTAATTAAGATTTTTATAGATTGATAAAACTTTAGATGCCATGCCAAATTGACGAAACTCTAGATGAAAATCAGATGACTAAATAGTCCCCGCCTTTCACAGTTCCCTGCGCCATCTTGAAAGGTAGCCGTGCCTTTGCATCGAAGCGAGACAAACGGTGAGCTTGCAGCGATAGAGACATGTGAATAATTGTCCAAGGTGTTTAAAGGTCTCTATCAAAAAAGTCATTCTCTCTATCATTGCAAGCTTGCCGTTCGTCTCGCTTCGATGCAAAGGCACGACTACCTGTCAAGATGGCGCAGGAAACTGCAAAAGGGACTATTTTAGTAGATACAAACTTGATATTTCAGTGCTCGATTCCAGGGATCCTAATAAGATAATTCCTTCTTGTATGCCCCTCCCTTATGCCTGTGTTTTAACATCGGTTTGGTTATCATACTCATATCGCTCAGCTCCTTGCAAGGCTCCTGGAATACCTTATGGGGGCATCAAGCACGGAACTAGCTACAAACACAGCGAGCAAGTAAGGTTTAGATGTAAGGAAGGAATGGTTTTACATGGAGCGGAAACTTTAACGTGCAATAATGGTGCATGGGACCATGATACGCCGAAATGTTTAAGTAAGTCAATTATACTAAATTTATTATACTTTGGTATTGAAATTAGTTTAGCGAACCTACTATTATCCATCTATCTTTTCAACCATCCATCCATCCATCCACCAACTATCCACCAAGCCAACCAACCCCAAGTTATCCATCTATTCAACCATCCATCCATCCATCCACTAAACAACCAACCACCCAACCAACCAAGTTAAATAACCAACTCAATTACTATTCAGATGAAAAAAATAGAAATTTGAATGCAACTTTATGGATGGATGACTGCATTTTCCAGCAATCAATTGGAAATCTGTATGGAATTAGAGCTAGTCAAAATTTAAGTTTTTAATTTTTTTGATTTTTTAAAATGTGGATCGGAACATGTTTAAATATAGTTTGCATTATTTAAATGACAGCGCGCACTTGTGAAACACTTAAATTATGTAAAAATTTATTTAAAATATTTCTTTCTTTTTTTTTTTTTCGAATTCAGCACGCTGTCTTAACCCTGGGGTTCCCAAGAATGGCTACCCAGAGAAACCCATGATGCGTTTCGCGAGAGCTTTTAAACATGGTACGGTCATGACATTTATGTGCAATGACACCTATACGCTTGAGGGCCAACAAGCAATCGAATGTGTTGATGGACGATGGAGTCACGAGATACCAAAATGCTTTGGTAAGAAAAACTGATCATTAATTAACAACTTTACTTGAAAACTACAGCTGTAATAGCCGAAGAAATCAAGGATTAGGTTGTCATCAAGTAAGAGAATGTCACCATCTTGTCATGCATGTGCAGATACGTTAAAAAGGGTCTCGTATAATGTGGTTGATCGTATACGAATGCTGGGATTCAGTTCATCGAATGGCAAAGTAAAACTGAAATATAATATCAGTTCTAGGTGATCTCTTACCAAAATATAATGGAAGTTTTGACTTACCTAGGAAAGAGGAATAGAAATCATGGTTTGCACTAGGGCAATATTTGGACATAGATACCTTCAGGTGCCCACAAACATGGTTCAGTCGCCTGCATCTGATGACTGAGATTTTGCATTGACAATGAAATGTCTCACGTTCAACGCTGCGTTCTCGAAAAAATATTTTTTTCCCTATTGTTTTAGGAACAAAAGGTTTTGTAAATGCTAATTTTGGAATCGTTATGAAAATGAGGCTACTAAATGCATAATGGTGTTTTACTGCGATTTTCATAAACATTCGAACTCTGCGTCTTCGAGCTGCACGATGAAATTTGGTTTTTCGCTGCCGTCAATCAAACCTAATCAGTCGGTACCTTTCATATTTTTGACTGACGGCAGCAGCAACAACAACAACAACAACAAATTCAGCGTGCAACTCGGAGACACAGAATTCGCATGTTTATGAAAACTGCAGTAATTCTTGTGAATGAATATAAAAGTCCGCTTGGAATTAGCGATTTGATTTCAAATTAGTAATAAAATGCTAATAATCTAATCCTTTTAATTTCACTAGTCCTTTTGCTTCTGCTTCTTCTCCTTTTCCTCCTCCTTTTCCTTCATTATTTCAAACCCCTCTTTTTACATTAAAATTCAGCTTTTGACGGGTACTATCCAATATCATTTTAGTCTTACATCTTTCAATTACATGCTCAGCCTCTTGCAAGGACCCTGGTACACCTGATGGTGGAATCAGATACGACAGTACTTTTCAACACAACGACAGAGTAAGGTTTGCTTGCAACAGTGGAAAGACAATGGAAGGTTCTGAGAGCATCACGTGTAAGGATGGAAGATGGTCCGGCAAACCTCCAAAGTGCATAGGTAGGTTTAATATATATTAATTTATTGAACTGTATGCGCTGGTGGAGCTAGAAGGAAAAGGGATCAAGGAAAGGGAAAGGAGGAGGGGGAGGGGGAGGGGGAAAAGGAAGAGGAGCAAAATTCCATTAAAAGATGTATCTGTCTGTCTGTCTGGAAGCAAATAAAAAAGTAAGAAAAAGGGGAAAAGAAGGAAAGAAAAAAGAATGAACGAACAAACGAACAAACGAACAAATTATCAAATGAATGATATATGCCCATGATGGGAAGATTTCAACTCAACGTAAAAAGACCTATTACTTTATAAGTAATATTTGCTATATATTTCAAATTCACAGGTATTATACAGAAGGCATGCAATGTATTTATTCCATGGTCTGATATATTCTGTCCTTAGTGACATCACTGAGTTACACAAAAACGTATAAGGCTAGAATTAGAATTGTGTGGATAGCTTGCATTGCACATCGATTTCGAGTCGATGTACTAGGAACCAGGAAGGCTCGTTTTTGTTCATCATTTCCGAGAACTCGGAAACAAGCTTACTTAAAAAGTGATAAAATAAAATGGGAAAAAAAGTGTTATTTTGTCTTTGTTGTTTTTTTATTTTGTTTTTGTTTTCGTTGTGCACAAAAAAAAAAAAAAAAAAAAAAAAAAAAAAAAAAAA